AGTAATAGTGTTGTAATAATAATAACGGAATTCTACCGCTGTTGACAAAATAAACCGTATCAAAAATGGTACCGGGAAATGTTTTCGTATACAGATGTATTATTGTTGGATTATACAAAAGATAATGGATATATGCCTGGAATTATTAAGTATAATGGAATTTGTTTACATTATTAAACCGAAATACTGTCGTATAACATTTACAGAATTACTACAATTCAACCAGGTTTAAAATGCTACTAAGTATTTATAAGTGAGAAATATTTGAGTAAATATAGGCATAACAATCGTAATTACAATTTAAATTGTTATCGTGTGCATCATACACCATAACTATATTAGTCTTAAAAAACAATAATTAATGTTTCGAAAACAATTTTTTTTTAATAAAATGCCAACGTAAGGATTACAAAATTACCAAATTAATTAAAGTTTAATTTCAAGTTATTTCATAAAGTTTGAACTAACGTTTAGTAGTTGAAATTTAATTAAAAAAGTATTGAAATTCAGTAGTTAATTATATCTTACTATGTAGATTTGATTAAAAATTCTAAAAATAATACTTATCTGTAACAAATTAAATAAATTGGACATTTACTAATTTAATTTAAACGAAGTTTTTATCGAAACGTAATCACAGGAATTACATATGCTTTACAGAACTTGACATATCCTCCTCGAAATAAGTAATATAGCAAAAATTCATGTTTTTACTAAAATAATTTATCTTTTGATCCTTGACCATTAGGCTGATATTTATGTTGTAAAATAGAAATACAATAATAATTCATACCTACTTCACCATTAAGAGCTATTTTATGAACTGGTGTTTATTAAAGTTACTATATTTGAAGAAGAATAATAAAGGTCCCCACACACTACCGTGGTGGCGTTAAATTTGTACACACTTATTATAATGAGAGTCCGCACACTGCTGCGGTAATTCGGCCGCGGTAAAATATTGCCGCTGCGATATTTATAAAAACTGCAGCATGCTCGACAGGGGCGTCATTTGGGGGGGAGGGGCAGGAGTATGCATTTGCCCGACCCTAGATTTTAAAGTAGCAAAATGGGCCGGAGGCCGGGTCTAAGCGGGCCGGGTTTTCTATAATAATCAATATAATCTTAAATCTACTGACTATTCTAGAATATACTACATAATACAAAAATATAAATTTATGGTATATCATAATAATATATTAATTAATACGTTATTATTATTATTTATTATTCTATTCTATGGAACTATATTCGTTATCTCAACGATAAAGTTTAAAAACCACGATAAAAAGATCAGCTATTGACGTCGTGAACCGTGGTAACCAAGGTTTATAGATAATATCTATAAACCTTGCGTGGTAACCAGTATAATGTAATGTAACTATGACAGAGATATGACTGATAAGAGCATAGCATTGTAAATGTTCGTTATCAATAACGAAATGACCAACGAATGTTGAATTTTTCATTTTGAATTTGATTTTACTTAGTGTGTACTGTGTACTGCGTACAAAATAAAAATTTGACTAGCTAGCGAGCGGAGCGAGCGCCTTTTTTTTATATAAAATTAAAAGTGTTAGTTATAGGGCCAGTCATTATTATGCCCTACCCTATCAAATATTGAAATGACGCCCCTGATGCTCGATTTTACCGCCACAGATCAGCGGTATTTTCAATTGTCTTATATATATTATACATATAATGAATATGATATGTACAATAGTATAAGTACTTAATATAGTACCTATTAACTTACTATATAGATCAGAGGTCCTCAACCTTTTTTTGTTCACGGCACACCATTATACATCACAAGTTTTCGCGGTACACTCATCCACTTGACAACAACAAAAATTTTGGCTAAACGCTATAATATCCAGCTGGGTTAAAACCATACAGTTTACCTACATATGTATCGTCTTATCTGCACAATTAATTGACATTTAACTGTCATAGTTTCATCAATTGGTATTTTCAAATATCAGACATTTTTCACGGCACACCAAGTCGATCTCGCGGCACAGTATTGTGCCGCGACACACTGGTTGAGAACCACTGATATAGATAAATCGTCAATTTATCAATGACATAGGAATTAATAAAGTAACTATACAATTATTGTATGTAATATATAAATATATTATGTTTATACTGGATAAAAATCGCCACCACCACCGCGGCATTGTGTGGTGACCTTAAAAGTTTTACTATTGCAGTATCATGGCAAATAATCCAAGAAGTACACACACACATATATATATATATATATATACGGTCTTCAATAATAATTTAACACATCGATATTTTTAATTATAAGTTAAAAATGAAATATGATTATTCTTTTCCAATATTAACCAAAGATGTTTATTTTAATTTTAAATATAAAGGTTACCTACCTAAACAGATAAGAGAAGTCACAGTAAACTACGTAGAAGTATTTGTATGAGTTACAACAAATAATTTACATAAATATAAGAGAATTTTAGACACTGTAATTATCCTAATAATTTATAAGGATAAGCAAAAAAACAAATATGTACATTAAATAATCATAAACTATGAAGATACATTTTTCTAACAGAAGCAGTAAAATAATAATTTTCATTGACAAAATATGTCAATATAAAAATAAAAAAATAATTGAATAAACTTGAAAAAATAAATACAACTCTGAAATAAAAATAAGAGCAAAGGTAAACTTACTTTGCTATAAATGTATTTAAATGAATAGAATTTTTAATTTAATAACTACAAACAAAAGAAAATCTCTTGTTCTAACCTTACTAATTACTTTTTGATTGTAGCTATATTCAATATTAATAAATGTACGTGGATATAAAACAACTTGGTGATTGGCACAACAAATAAACTTAATATTTATGAAAATTATGTAACATAAACATAAAATAATTTAATATGGGATTTTCAAGACTTCATAACAATTTTTTTGTACTGTGATTTCATTTATTATAAGAATGTATCCTCATACATGAATAATTTATAAATTATAAGTCAATAGGTTATAATAAATACAAAATGCATACCAAGTACCAATATAATATATAATTTTAATAACTGATAAAATTGGAATGATTTCTAGTCAACAGCATTATATCAAAAGCTTTAGATTTGGGGTCGAGTATAAGTAACTATGGCAACGGGCAAATGTTCAATAGTGGTTACCAAAATGCATACATTAAAAATAATATATTTACATTAACAGTATATTTTATAAGATTTATGAGTTGAAAAAATAAAATTTCCAACTTTGTAATTTTTGTAACATAAATAGAGTAAACAATAAAAGAGATTTTTTAAAATTAATTTCAGAAACCATAGTAAAATAGATAGCATTTATAAAAATAAATTTAAAATAAGTAAAAATCTATGTCCAAACATGACTAATTGGATAAATCACCAAAAATTTAAGTATTAGCAAATTTTAATATTAAAACTATTGTTATATAGTAACTCATTTCATAAAACATGCATCTTCAAAGCAAAAATGTATTGCTGCATATTTCACTAAATTTTGACTATTTGAAATTATTACCTAAATAATTTATGGATAATTCTACAAAAATTATTTTGATAAAAATTCAATGAAACTATTGGTATTTAATAAGATTCTCTATAAAAATATAAAAATATATTTTTAATAATAAAAAACTATGATTTTTTTCTTTTTAATTACACTTAAGGTATTATATACTTTAACGGCCTTTGATTCTCTTTATATTCTATTCTTATGAGGTTAAATTTATTATTTTGTTAATTATGTATTATAATATTCATGAACCTAATATAAATTATTATTATTAATTTTTAATTTACATATCGAGCATCAACAAAATTAAATGTATGTATGTAAACATAAGTACTTAAAGTTATTTGTGAATTAGAAAGATTCAATTAGAAAACTGTAAAAACTATAATATTAAAAAAAAATTAATATTTTTATATGATTTTCCGTGAATCCAAAGTTTTATTTTTCAATCCGAACATTTTTACTAGGTTCTTGCTCCAATGTCTAACTCTTGATCAATTACTAAACAACTATAATAATATTCCCTAATCGTAAATGGCATTAACTACCAATGCTAACGTTCTAAATCAATACAAAACAAAAACATTCATTGTTCAGCAAAATAATATTTTTAAATTTTTCCTATCATATTCAATTTAAAGTCAAATTTAATACTTAACATTAATTGAAGGGTTAGAATTAATTAGAATAAATAATTATATTTTCAAATAATTCCATTAAATCCTACACTATAATTATTTTACATTCATTTAAATAGGTAAAAATAAATTGACTATTTTTTAGAAAACGTGTTTTGAAGAACATAAAGTTTTGTGTTAAAACAAAAAGAAGAACATTTATTAATTTAATTTTTTAAATGGGCATGGTCCAATCATATACATTAAACATAATAATAGTTACATAATAATAATTATAATTATAGATAATTATAGTTTTATTGATAAATTCCAGAGTAATCCTCAACACATTAGTAATGCTGAACATGGAAAGAACAATTTAATAGGGTGCTGCAACACTATGCCCAGTATTTATTTCAGACCTTCTATCCCGTAAATTTTCAGGAGAAGGGTTATATGATATGCGATATGCTATAGGAGAAAATAATTAATAAATAAATACAATTTTTCAGCGAATATAAATTTCTTTTTCAAAGAGGTAAATATTCCTTGATCCCCTGAAATAAATACTAACTATTCCCCTATAAATTATTTCATTTAAACTACTGACTTAAATTTTTTCATTGTTTTATATTAGTCTTCAAATTACAAAATTGATAAAAATATTAATAATAAAAAGAATATGAGTAACATGAATAACTACCATTCATATAAGTTTGATAAATATAAGTATTTTTTCCAATACTTTTTAAATTTTTATAAACTTAGGGAATTGAAATGTCAACACATATTTTATTTAAATTATGTAATCAGTAAATAAAATTAACATTACTTACCGATCAAATATTCTTGACTCCTTTAATACATTCCCAAGATTGATATACGCATCCAAAAAGTTTGGATCCAAAGCAACAGCTTTTTCAAAATGATGGATAGCTAACCATATCTCATTTAAGGAGTTGAATACACATCCTAGATTACTCCAAGCAACAGCAAAGTCTGGTCGAGTTTCGATAGCTTTCAAATAGCAAGACTGTAAATATAAAATGTAGAAGGAATCCACAGGAAATTTAAGGAAAGGAACAAATTAAATAATAATTAATAAACAGTAATAGCTGTGTCTTATAGTTTAAGTGTAAACGGAAAACAGAATGAAAAAAGTGTTATGTACAAATTCCTCTCCAAAAAGTTTTTAAATAGTTGGGAAAGCGCAGAAGAAAACATGTAATATGCAAGTCTAAACCAAGACTATAATTGTCTATAAAGGCTGCTAAAATAATTTGAAGTGAAAAACTAATTTATAATGAATTTAGTTTGTTTATAAATTTAATTAAACAAATGGGAAAGGGAGCATTTATAATCATTTTAACAGCCAACAGACAGTACGCGCAATTACGCAGCAACATAACACGATCAAAAAATATTTATATTTTTATAATCGTACTATGTTAATAATGGGACCTAAACGCGCTCAAGCCATACTTTATTCTTTTTTTTTTAACACAATAGAAGTGTTAGGAGAGAAAATGTACACTAGCGCGCATGCTTCGTCATTAACTTCGCTTCCCTTGACACATTCCTATAAACAAAAACAAAAAATGCACTTGTTAAGAAAAAAAATCCTAACACCTAGTATATTTGCCCACTTCAATTGAAGAAAATCATGAATGACACAAATATTAATATTAGTCATATTAATAATGTAATACTATCATAATATTTGAAAATATCATAATTTTCTCAAAGAAGTAATCAGAGAATTATGATATATTAAAAAAAAAAACATTCAGCCTTTTTTTTTTTTTGTGTGAACCAGCAATCACACCGTTGAGATGATCATTGTTACGAGAGTGTGAGGCGAGTGGTTACCAATAAATTTAGTACTTTTGGAGAAAATTTCCCGTTTACAAAATTTGATTTAAAGAGATGTGAATTACTTAGTACCTATTAATGTATGTGGTAGCTATTCAGGAAATAGGAACACACTCGCCGTACATCCTCATCAACTAAACACACAACATTTTTCGTATCATGGACCTAGAAAAATTGATGGATGGTACCTGAAAAGTAAAAAAAAATCCGAATGATATTAGTATGCACGAATTTTTCATATAAATAAAAAGAGAGTCTAGTGTTCTTTTCACGAAATAATTATTTATTTGATTAAGAATAAAAGAAGATTTAGATTTGTATATTATTTTTCGAACGTGATAATAAAATTTAATTTAATAGTTATGTATTAGTTCAGGACTGTATTCAAATAGAAAACTATTTTAATAGTTTTAAAATGGAGGATACTGTTAAAGTTAACTTTAATGTTGGCTTTTAGATAAAAATCGTAAATACAACCCTGAAAGAATACTTTCTCGATCAAAAACTTTTACTTCTATATTTTTCGGCAACTAATAGAACCTAGTTATTCATAAGAACTAATTTAATATAAAATATTAAAGATAATTAAGTTAAATAGCCAAATATTTACTTCACTAGTAGATGATAAAATTCCCAGATCGAGAAAATGGAAATGATTTTTTTTTAATTACTCACCATTTATATCAAGGAACTCAGAGTTGTCCATCGCTTTTTGAAACCAGGAAAATAATATGGAAAACAATTTAAGGAAAGAAAACATAGGAAAATAGATAAAAGATGAAAATAATGAAAATATTTGAAATGAAGTCAAAAAGATGTTGATAACTTTTTGTTGTAGATCGGCGCATTGAAAACTTTTAATGAAATCTCATCAGTTAGATGAATCAAAGTTATAAATAATTATTTAAATTGTAAAGCAAATAGGAAACTAGTTTTAAAATATATAATTTGGTTTTTCATAACTTATACCAATATTTTATATATTATAATAGAATATATACAATGAAATTATGAATTTTTATATTGTTATACATTTCAGAAAATAAATTGAATACTTATAATGAGATCTATAAATAAAATAATTCTAATTCTTTTACTTTAATTACTATTGATAATAATACAACATTTAAATGAATTGCTTTACAATAATTTTATTACATTAAATTTTACTTTGCTTTTAAGTACTAGATAAAAATTACTTTTATCAAAATTAAAAGACAGCTATTGGATATTCAACAACAAAAACACATAGTTTTCAACACTTAATTTATCATTTGTCTCAATAATTTTTACTTAATTATAGTAATAATCATAAACTACTGGATTTAAATGAAACAAAAAACTTATTAAATATTGCAAACTAGTGTTATAATTTGTATTCACAGAATACAATAAAAAGAATCAAATGCTCTTATTAAAAAAATTAGTGATTTACATAATAATAAATATTACCAATTAAAATGTTTTTTAAACATTAAACTGTCAAATTATTTTTAATGAATCATACAATAATTATAATGTTAGTAATACAAATATACAAACGTATGTATACCGAATAATGTACTTTTTTTTTTAAATAAAACATTTAATTCTTTTCCGCGCGTACGTAAAAATAGGCAAGCGCAGCGCAAGTCAATTGAATCAGAATGTATGTTTTCAAAACTTTTTTATTTAAAATTATACTTTTTGTTTTTAATTGCATTAATAGCATAAAGAAATATTCTAAAAAAATTACATTTAAATAAATAAAAACATACATAATGATTGACAACTGAAATTCCGCAAACAACCAAAAAAATACACAATTGTTTACGGAATAAAATTATTTTAATATTAATACTGAAATTCTTGAACCAATTGATGAAGAATAATAAAGCTACCATAAGCAAAATGCATTCAATCATTTGTTTCAAAAAATTCAGTAATATGCGCGCAATAGATGAATTCCAATAGCGGTCTTGAGATGTTAATAAACAAATTATAATTCAAAAAATGTATTCTATTTTTATCAGTGACCGATCTACAACAGAACACCTGAAAAATTAATTAATCAACACAATTAATATTTGTCTTTACCTTAGCCTCGTCCAATCTGCCTAATGCCTTCAACAAGTTCCCAAGATCACTTCGAACACAATACAATTCCTAAATAGATATTTATAATCAATTATTAATTATTAAGGTATTAGGCTCCACATTTTTAATAATATTTTTACACTTACAGGATTATACTGTAATGCTGTAACATACGCTTGAACCGCTTGTTCCATATCACCAGCAGCTACAAGAGCAGCTGCCAGATTTATGTAGCCATCAATGAAATCTGGCTTTAAACGTACAGCATGACGATAATTATCTAGTGCATCTTGAAGTTGTCCACGTTCTTTGAAAACATTTCCTAGATTACTGTATGCTTCAGCTAGTAGAGGATTATGTTTAATAGCCAATGACGAAAACTGAGCAGATCTAATAAAAATTAAACAAATTGAAAATATAAAAATGAATCAATTGTTTTAAATTGTTTTAAACTCACTTATCTAAGCGTCTGCATTGAAAATGTATGGATGACAAAAGTAATAATACACCAGTGTTGTTAGGTTCTTGACGCCAAAGTTGCATACAATGTCTTTCAGAACTTTCATAATCTCCAGCTTGGTATTCTCTATGTGCCAATTCTAACAAACCTACAAAATAAAACATTAGTAAGTTATTGACTTATTTTATACTTAATACTTTTATTTTGCCCATATTTTCAAGATACTCCACATGATAAAATATATTGAGAAACAAATAGGCCATAATAATATATGCAAATATACTTAGATTAAATTACAGTCTATAAGTCATAACTTAGATGTATTCATAATTTAAATAGTGTTTAAATGAAGCATGTGATTAAAATGATTAAAATTAATATTAAACATAAATTCTTATCCTGAATCAAGTTGAAAATTATACAAATTATAAAATTGAAATTCATGACAAAAATTATCATCATTCACATTATTAGGAATACAGCATAAATGGTTTATGTTAAAATTACTTATAGAATAATACTGAAAATGTATTTATCTATAAAACAAAATCAACTAAAAATAACTTTGGTTCATATTTCATTACATAATTTATAGGATAATTTCTGATAATTTAGAAATTTAAACTAAAACTATTGAAATACATCAACATATAAATATAACAAATAAATTATAATAGTAAGAGAAGATTTATGTAGAGATGATAATCACTATTCTTCCTTAAGCATTAGATATTCTACAATTATTAAGCAAAAACATATGAGAACCAGAAATTCTGAGATTTTTTTCTTGTTCAATACGAATAAAAATTATACAGGAAATCCACATCTAAAAATGAAAAACCAACAAAAATTACAGGTTTTTTCTTCTTCAAAAAAAAAAAATAGTGGCTGTCATATAGTATGCAGTTTACCGGCAAACGCGTTGTAGAATGCGGTCTACCTGCGGTTTTTGCATAGGCTTAAGTTTATTTTTAATAGATACCTACACTTTAATCTTTTTCTTTGGTCAACACTTTATTTTTATTGCCTTATACACAGATAACAATATTTCGACATTTTGTAAAAGTATGGGATCAATAGCTCAGTACGTCATTTATTGCGTGACACAATTTATATTTTACACATTCAATATGTTGGCAAAAGATTTTTATTCAATTATTAGTAGTGACTAATCAACCACAAATTTTTTTATTAGCAAAAATGTTGTGGCAAATAATGAAAATGCCGAATGTAATAAGTCTGAAAGTGCTATGAATTTATATACATATTATTGCAGATATCTCTTGGAAACATGGTGGTGTAGCATAAATAAATCAGATTTATTTAATGCATTTTTGAGAGATATGGCTGAAGTTTTTGTATAACATATTACATTATATTTATTTATACTCATTGACAACAATTTTTCTGACAAACTAATTTTTAATTATTAATTTTTTACTATTACTGTTACAATAATTATACTTTAATATTATGATATAATTTTTAATTTATTTATTTGCAGTAGACCGCATACTATATTCATAAATCGCCGGTAGACTGCATACTATACTCGTAAATTCACCGGTAGACCGCATACTATACGACAGCCAAAATAATCTTGAACATAATTTGTATACTATAACTAAAGAAAATATTTTTTCAAAATGTTAATGAATGAAATGAATGAAAATTATATATTCATATATTTCTAAATATATTTAAAATAATTTAATTAAATAATTATATTATAAGTATAAAAATAAATAGTCTTTGAGCGTTATATTATAAAATACAATTTTTCCTGTAAAATAATTTTTATTTTTAATTGTCCCTGGCTGATTTAAGTTTTGAAGGTTTAATTGTAATAAATTCTTAGTTTAAATACTATATAAAAATGAAAGCTTTTAAGCTAGTTTAATTTAAATAAAATAAATCAATTCCATGACCCAAATAAATTTAAGTATCTGTAAGTAAAAATTAAAGTTGAGTAATTATATAGAATATATTTTGATCAAGAAAATAAAAAAATAGAAAAATGCATACTTGCTACATAATAATAACTAGCAATTTATTATCTACCTAAACAGATTTAATTAAATGTAATTTAATAAGAACTAAAAATATGCATTATTAATAAAATTAAACCTTAAATTATTCTTAAAATAGTAAAATATATGACAAACTCTGAATAAAACATAAAACTATCTTAATTAATGGTTTGATACCTTAAGACAGATACACAATGGAGCATTTAGGTGTTAACTGAATACGAAGTGTGAACAGTGCTTAGCTCCACAAAAATATCATTATTTTGATGAATATCAAAAGTTACATATACACCACCAGTAAGTATGGTAAACCAATTAAACCAATTGCTTTCAGCAAATCGCCTAAATTGTTCTGCCTCTACTGAACTTTATTTTAATAAACATTTTTTTCTGCAAACTTTTATATGATTCACTAGTTGTAAAAAATTATAATATGACATAAATCTTTCATGCATTAGAATAGGTTTTTGGATATTAGTATTTTGTTTTAAAATATAATAAGTAATCAAAATCAATAGAAAATATTCTAATGACGTTTCTGAACTATCCACTCATTTCCAGTAATAAATCTAATCCACTAAATAAGTTCCTAGGTTTAATTAAATTAGTTTGACACCATCTTATTTCAATTCTTTTTTTTTTTAAAAAATATGAATTAAAATTTATGCTACACTAGTTATTTGCAAATTAGATATTGTACACAATGTTACACAGAAACAAAGGATGATTAACTGATGGATTGACTGGCAGATAACTGATACAGAGTAATGCTCTACCCAAACATAAGAACTGATCATTTATAACATGTAACATACGAGCGAAAAATAACTCTGTTACATTACATTTAAATGCACTAGTATGTATTCACCTTAACCTAACTATTTATAATTGACATATACAATCATTCAGATTCAAAGTATCTGATTCTGATTATAAGTCCATGTTAAGAAACATACAAAATAAAATAATTAGTTAACAACTACATTCTATTTTATATAAAAACACATTGGGGCAGTAGATAAAAAATAGTTGTGTTTACATATGCAGGGCTAATGATAGGGATGGGCGACCTGAGCCTACACTTATGGCACCTCAATGATATAATATTAAAACTGAAAAAATTATAGGAGTATAATTCTAATATTATTTCCATTCTATTGACTATTATTTATCATGATAGGTATATAATAATTTAATCCATAGATATGAATTATTATTATTGCTAGTAGCTATTTATTTAGAATTTGGATATTAAGAGCACTAGATAATGATTTAAAATAAAACGACTACTAATTATATGGAGAGGCGTATATTTGTTTATTTGCTCGGGTTGCCAATGACTACTGCTAGTACTGTACATAATATGTATTATGATACCCTTTGTAATTGTAATTAAGCTATATAAAGGTTTCTTTTCTAATAGAAGCAGACAATTTCCAATTACTGATGATTTTACATAGAATAGTATTCTACAGCTTAGGATGTCATGGGTATCACAGTAAAATTAAGTTAGATTAGAACTTTGATATTTGGAATACATATGAAGTTTTCATCATAAAAAAACTGACTTTTCAATAATTATAAAATAATATATATTTTTTTCTTTTAATTTTTTTATTATGATTAATACAATTATAGATAAATCAGAAAATTGTCTTATAAGCTTATCACTTAAAACATAAAAATCAGCAATTAAAGTTAGAATAATTAAATAATTTCAGAAATGAATTTAAAAATGTAGATGTATTTTAATAATTAGATACCATAATAAGATAATAAAAATCTGATTCATATTACTAATATTTTGAATATAAAATATTGCATGGGCTTCAAACACAGATAATAAATAAATATGTACATATAAATATAATATCAGTCAAGTAATCCATTTGTTTTATACAGTGACATAGGAAGACTGGCTGCACCCCTGGAAAACTTAGAAAAAGTTACCTTTTTAACCAATTAACATTTAATGTCATATTATTTTTAACCTTTAATTTTACTAATATTTGTAAGTTAACAATTTATACTTATAAGTTATTATTACAGTGTTAATTTTAAACTTTGAAAATTTGCTTTTCTCGCTTCCCGACTGGCAAATTAATTCATCGATAATTTCTTCATATAAAATTTTTTATTTAAATATTCTATTTTCATAATTTGATCATTGAATTCATACTTAGTGTGTACAAATAGACAACATATACATATTCCAAAAAGTACAATGGAAAAATGTCGATTTAATTATGGGATAAAAATATGACTTTTGCAAAATTTTGTGACCCTGGGGTAGGCAGAGTTTGCCATACCATTACTACGCCACTGCTTTTGTATGGTAAGGAGCTTTCTATCTATTTTTCATATTAAGCAACAAAAAAAAAAACAATTTAGTAAATATTTTTCAACATGTAAAAACTTTAAAATTATAAAGTTTTTGATTATATTTTTACTGGACATAGGAAGGCTAAATGGTTAACTATTCGTTATTCAAAATTGGTTAGCCATTCTTAATATTTTAATGGGTGATTGCCGAACTACTTGTCACGTTATGTTTCAACATCCAATGAAAAATATTAAACCTTCAATGCTTGTATTTCAGAGAAAAAATTTTAATCATCAACCTTAACACAACCTATGTTAAACAAAGTTAACTGTCAATATTATGTACACTAAACTAAATAAAGTGAAATTTCGATTAATCATCTACATGACATTCAGCCAGACCCATCTAAAATATGAAAACTTTTATATAGAAACCAAAAATTAATGATCAATAATAATGAAAATAATTTCTAGCTGATTCACTGGTACTGTAATATATATATATATAAAACAGATAAGTTTACCAATACATATTAAATTAATGAAAAATTAGAAAAGACACGTTATCTTTCAAGTCATCGAAGGAAATTAACATTTAAAAAATTATTAATGTACCTTAATTTAAATTAAGGTCTAATTTTATGAGTTTCATGAATTCTATTGAAATTATGCTTAATTGTGTCATATGTAGTTAAAATATTTTATAAAAAAAAAATTAGATAGGTAAACACCAATTATAGTTTATGAATTACATAATGTTTTAAAATAGTTTCAAAAGATAAAAGTATTTAACTACTAACACCTAGTAAATAAAGTTAAAAAGTTCTTTTGAGAACAAATCATCTAGAATGAAAATCTATAAGTGATAAAATATAGGTATCGATATTATGTATTAATGTTAACATTTTGAAATATTTATTATACTATTGTGTAGTATGAGAGAATTAATATTCTATTTATTAAAAATTTTAATATTTTTCAAAAAATAATTGGTAGGGATAGTACAAATTAGTACAATTCATCTTGTACTATTACAAAAAATATAGAAGTATGATAAAAAAATGTCCAATACAATCTGTAATATTTTTATTTAATAAGTGCATGATTTACCCATTTAAAGTGCATACATTAAATAAATAAAATTAAAATCACAAGTTTCTGTTTAAAACAATTCAAACAAAATTTTAAAAAATTAGTGCAATAATATCATAAATTTTAACTTTGAATAAAACCCAAGCTGAATAATTCACAGACCGCTGAGCACAACATGAAGTACATCAACAGAGTCTCAATCATCAATATTTTGGAAAACATTGTCCAAATATCTTACCTTTAGAACTCGAAAATCAAGCCAATACAAGTAATGTTTGGTAAAGAGAAACCAACATCTGTAAGGGTAAGTCACACATGAGAACAAAATGGGTGCATGTACCCAGGACTTAGTGCTAGTGATGATGTGCCCCGACATCTATTGTGTACATATACACAGTAAAACCAGTAAACGTGTTGAAGTAGACGAAAATCGATAATCATAAACGCTAGAAAAGCGTTATGCATATAGATAAGTACTAACCAAACTGGTCTTGGAGCAAAGTTTCATTCTGACTGAGAGCACTCAATATCAACATGGTGGTGGCCGCCGAATGAATGGTGACACCGAGGACCGTACAGAATAGGCTGGCAAAAATGACTGAAATCGACGGCAGAAATAAATAAGATTTTATAGCGAAACGTCGTCGACAGCCGGGCCGAAATGACGGCGACAGCGCGAGCACAAGAAAATACGACGGAGGCGACAAAAATCACGAACGTACGGAGAACGCATGGGTAAACAACGTGCCACGAAGTACCCAACATGCGATGTAAGAAAAAACCCGTACAAGAAAGTAAAATCGGAGGTTTGAAATAAACGATTATCGTACGTAGCACGTAGAAACGTGTGAAATGAGCAAGTATAATCATCAACACGGATCAATCACGACGTCGCACTACGAACTCTCTCATTCTCTCTCACTCCACCGGACCGTATACCTTCTCACGGTGCGCCGTCGTCATCTATTTCCGTCGTAAAGACTTTCGGTACCGAAATAGAACTCACGAATCGACCTTTTCTCGACTGTACGATAACAGTCAATAACGACAACACCGCCGTCGGGAACGGTTGTCGGCGTGCCTGAAGTGGGTCGTAGACGTAGATAACAACAATATATACATTATGGTTATTATTATGAACCGTGTGTAATCGTCGTGAGACTTACCGGCCGACGCAGCGGCCGAGTTGTCCTCCAGTTTCAGTATGACCGTGGCTGCATGGTGCGTTTGGGACTGCATCGCGGCGAATGTATTCGCCGTATCGTCGACAACAGCGAAGTGCCGTCAACAGTACTCGGATCGCGTCTCGTCGATCGCTGAACGAGTGGTGGTGCGTGGTCGGCAACTCCGTCGTCTCGATAGCAAATGGTACGGCCGCGGTCGGTGCAGTGTACGACGTTCGGTTGCGACGGGTGGCCGTTTCGGTACGATATTCAGCGCCCGTCCCCCACTCCGATCTCTCGACCGCCGCTAACCTCCCGCGCGCGTGCGCGCGTACGCGCGGGGAAACGGAGAGCACGCGCACGCGCACCCCGGGCTGAACCGATGCGGTGGCGGTGGTAAACCGGTATAGACGGCGACGTGATGTCGCGGGGTTCGGTGTCGTGTGCCGTGGTAGAGATGGACCCGCGGAACGGGTGAAAATATGTGCGCGGGGAGAGCGTGCGTGC